GAATTCCCTTGGTCATTGGCCGACTCTTGCCGTAGCCTTGTGGTGAGGAGATAGACTTACTCGTATACTCGATTACATACATATATAAATGTGATGTTTATATGTATGTATATTCTAATATGTATGCATGCTTGTTCATGGGTGGTTAGCCTGTATTCTAACTGTTTTTATCCGATTGATTTGTTCTGGGCGTTTCACGCCGACTCACCGCGCTCTCGATACAAATTCCGATTTCTCTTATTTATTACTGTTACTTCCGTTTTTCAATTTTGCAAAATTGTGGCTTTCGTAATGAGTTTTGTTACTACAGAAATAGCTAACTTTTTTCATTATTATAATATATATCGATTTCAGTTGATAATCGAGCTTTGTCTGAGATTTAATATCGAAAGTCTGCAAGTGTGCATATTTTAAAAATTTTGCGCTTTTGTGAAGGGGGTGTAATTCGTTAGTTGGTACTTTGTAAAAATTCTTATCATTGCCTTTCGCTCTATTTCAGTAGTGTGTTGAATTTTTCTATTTAAAACTGCTCATTCAAGGTGAATTCATAAATGAGAGAGCAGGAAGCAAATAAATGGAAAATTAATGGCGTTTAAAACACACAAACCTTCCGTTCTACCCTCCTTCTCAATATTATTACGGTCACAAATAGAAAATCAAATGAAATTCAAGCAAACAGATCGCTGGATTCAACGAATGAAAAAACTTTATTTCGTTGCCATAGCAACTTCACCTTGTGGAATTCGCCTTGCCCTGATTCATTTTTATTAAAGAGTAAAAACATTTAACTGAAAGTTCTATAGGGAAATTTAATTTTTGTAGTGGTCAGTACTCAGGACTAACTTTGAAATACTTTTAAACATATACAGAGAGAATAAAGACTAGGTGGACAATATCATTGAAGAGCAACGCATTGTACATGATGGCTTGTGCTAACTGTCATAGATGTATGGAAAGTGACGATATTTTAACACCATAATGAATGACAATCGGTTCCATAGCCCTGCGGGTTAGGACTCAAAAATTTACCAATCCAAAACCCAATAGTGTCCGCTAAAGTCGGGTCTGTATATCGGTACGGCCCGTATTTTTATCCGGCCAGGAAATATCACTCCCGCAATATTCCACGAATAGTTATTCGGGAAAAGTTTTGCAGTTACAGCAACAACAACAAGAATCGGTTCCATAAAATGCTGCCTGTGGATCGAACTCAAATCGCTTGCTGTAGCGTCAAGTAATTCCTAATATACATATGTACAAATGAGTTCCAAGATATATACATATTGGATGAGTGCATAAGTTCGTGCCCGATTTCAAGTGCAAACTAAAATTAAAATTTTTTGAAGAAAGCGCTTTTATTAATCAATTATGTATTCGCCATCATGTTCGGCAATCCACTCCCAACGTTCAACCAATTCACGGATGCCTGATTCATAGAAATCTCGCGGTTTCTCGTTTAAAAATGGTGTCAAGGTGGTTTTTGCGGTCTTCCACATTTTTAAATTTTTTTCCATTCAAATTGTTCTGCAGCAATCGAAACAAATGATAATCAGAAGGTGCAATGTCGGGTGAATATGGGGGATGCGGCATGATTTCCCAATTCATCTCCTTCAGTTTGGCCAGGGTCGGTTTTGCAACATGTGGCCTGGCGTTGTCATGATGGAAAAGAACTCCTTTGCGATTGGCCAAAATCGGACGTTTTTCATCAATTGCTTTCTTCAATTCGACCAATTGAATACTTGTTGGCAGTGATCGTTTCTCCAGCTGGCAAGAGCTCAAAATAGATCACGCCTCGGATATCCCACCAAATGCACAGTACCTTCATCGGATGCAGTCCACCTTTCGACATCCGTTCCGCCCCTTCGAGTGCCTGTTTCCATGTTCTTTTGCATTGAACATTGTTGTACAGGATCCATTTTTCATCACCAATCACGAGCCGATCCAAAAAAAGGTTCGTTTTTGATCCGTCGAAGCAAAGAAATGCTGCTGACATACGGTCCACTTAGTTTTTTTTAACTCAACTGATGTGGCACCCATGAATCGAGCTTCAAAGTGTACCCAACCTTTTTTTAACGACGAAACGCAGTTGATTTGTTGACGTTCAACGGACAGTTCCAAATAAGCCAACTTTGCGCAATGCCTGATACATGTTTCGGATTATTATCTTGATAGTTCCGAAGCTCGTCACGAATAATTAATTTTTATGTACTTTGCAAAAAATTTCTTTTTAAAATGTCCAAATACACAGTCTTGTTTATATCTAAATATCCAGGAGAAGACATGCATCCCCATACCATTACATGCCCTCCACCATGTTTTACTGTGCGCAGCATTTGCTTTTCTCCATACATGGATCCTCCCATCTGATCTAAACAAGTTGAATTTACTTTCGTCCGCAAAAATTACGTTGTCCCAGAATCTTTCATCTTTATATAAATGGTCCTTTGCAAACTGCGGCCTTGCACTTTGATTTTTAGCACTGATATAGGGTTTATTTTGAGCTGTGCGACCATTGACATCTGCTTCTCTGAGCGTCCTTCGCATGGCTTCTGGTTTACAGCTTTCGTGTATTTTCCGCACAATACATCGGGAATTACTTTCGTTAAATATTTTATTATGAGCCGTTTCAGTATTATTTAACGCACGACTTTCACGAGCATAGCGTTCAATGATATGCTGAAGAGTTCCTTGGTTCGATTTCACCATTTCCCCTATTTCATGCTGACTTTTACCATCTTTGTAATGTTTTCGGATTTATTCGGGCACCTCAATACTTGTTTGTCGTCCCATTTCGATCTACACTCAACCAATGTCAAAACTATAATGCCAAAATAATCTCGTATTACACTAAATTTGCTGGCGGTTATAGCGGTATTTATTGTGCATTCAAAAATTGTCGACAAGACGCCGAATATAACAGTAAATCTTTATGCATCATTTTCGCTGTGAGGTAGAATTTAATAGTGAAGTTGGTTTTCGTTGTAAATTACATAAAGTAAACAAAAAATGTAAATTTTTTGAAGGATCCATGAAATGTGCTAATCTGCCGCTAGTAACTGGCATTCATGTTTTATGGAAAATTTATTTAATTTTTAAATAAAATTTATACTATTTTTTACATAGCTGCATCACTTTGGCTGTGAGCCACTGTACTCGGTAGCATAAACGCGGGTTGAGTTCAAATCAGCTGATTTCTATGAAATGTGATTGCTGCAGAGTTACTGTGATGCTAACGAGAATTTTACTAAAATTTTGCAAAGTTAGGCTTGGCAGCCCTGATATTAACCCCATTCTGAATTCAACTCGAATAGAAAATTTGGCATTTATGCCTTTGGGCTTGACCCGAGTAGAATAAATCCGCATAGGAATGAAGCATAAACGTAGTTCATGTAGGAATAAATAATGATTAACGATTTCGGTTTTCATTTCTTTTGAGAAAACTACGCATATTCTTATGTTATTTAATATTCGTTTAAAACAGTCCATTCTGGCAACCGTGCACAACAGCGAGCAGTGAGCTAAGCCGGTTTTACGGAGGAAATGAAATCGTCGTTGGTTTCCGCGGGACAACAATCAGTAACGGCATCGACAAGCGTTGACAATTTTTTATTTAAATGGCGCTCTCATTAAATAGGGTGCTATGACTGAGAGGTGTGTAAGATCAGCATAACTCGTAGCCGCAAAATAATTACATTGCGCAACGAACATACATACTTACACACGATCTGTGCTTGGCATAAAAAAATTTATACCAACAACTAGGAGCATTTTTTTTTGGTTTTAAAATAGGTTGGTGATAGAAGGGTGAAAATTTAGGGTTATATATATGTATGTATTTTGTAATGTCATATCATAATAAAGTTAAAAGAGGAACATTTTGTCGAAAAAACCACTTAAGGGTGTGGAAAATAGATGTTATGGTATTTCACAATAAAAAAAAACCAAGCTTAAAGTTTCAAAACTATTTCGAAATCGAGCGAATGGTCCGTTCTCGGAAGATGGCTTCGCCTGTAAGTTGTGATCGATCTTGGAGGCGAATAAAAAATACAGTAAGCTTTTGTAAGTGCGTTTTTCCGAAAATAATAAAATATTTTCAACGCCGGTGGGTCTAAAATTTTTGCATAATCTTCTTGGATATAATGTAGTGCTATCCATTTAGTGGTTTCAAACAAAACATATTTTGTTTAATTTAGGCCAGACATTTGTTAAAATGGATCGCCTAACAACCGCACAACACTTACTAGAAAAGTAATTCGAACGCGGCCACGTTTCGTGCTTAAATCGTCCAACTACAAAAGCAATGTGCAACATTTTAGAGAGATTTGAAGATACTGAATCAGATATTGTAAGGCCTGTGTGTCATCGTTTTGCTCGTTCTACATTAAATATCGCCACTGTAATAGAGAGTGTAGCCGAAGACACGAATATGTCTGAGTCTCGACTTTATCAAAAGCTTGGACTTTCTTACGGGACATTATGACGTACTCCGCACTTGGGTTTACTCTTACATCCGTGTAAGGTCTTAGTCACACAAAAACTGAAGCTAGATGACTATTTATAAAGTCGTGCATACGTGATTGGGCGCTTGCACAATAAGAAGTGGACAGCATTTGGGTTGCTCCTTCTCCTGCTTCTGCAACTGAAGAACACGACTTGGAAAATATATAGTGCCACATGCCACACAACACGAGCAAATATGCTTTTATTACAAGAGAGATTTCCTGGCCGCAGAGCTCTTTTTTTTTTTTTTGGTCATGTCAATTGCCCATAAAGATCGTGTGATTTGGTACCGTTAGACTTTTTTGTTTCGCTATGCGAAGTACCGTGTTTATGAGGATAAAACTTTAACTCCTAAGCATTTTGAAACCAACCAACAAAAATTTGCGAGGCGGTCATTCCAATAATGTAGTGTTTCAAATATAATGCCAAGGTTCAAACTTTATAATAAAAACACTCATTTGAAGGAAAAATATTTTAAATAAATTTTATTTATATTTCATTTTCGAAACATCCGAAGAATGGGTAAGTCTGAATAATTTTCAAGTGTTGAATAAAGGATTGAGTGTATTTATATTTTTAACAATTCGGAGCGAACATTTTAGTCGAATACGAAATTTTTTTCCAAATAGTCACCAGGCTGCTCTCGGTAGCACACCATGCCTACACTAGCTGCATATCAGTGGACAATGATAGGCACTATCGTCAGCATTTGCAGAATCAACAGCCAAGTGGACACGGTATCCGGCACTTCGCTTCGTCCTGAAATCAATTTAAGTAAATTTTTGCAATATATTCCCCAAATTTGGATAATATACCGTGATATCTCGCGATAGAAGCAATTCCGAGCTTTTGAAGCAATGTGTAGTCTTTTTTGCGTTTATATTTCGGACGGCGAATTCAGCTCGATGATTTTGGTGTCTGTGTCTTTTGCTGTCCTTTTATAGCAATCTAAAAGTGATAAAAAGTACCCATTGAAGACTGATTTTGGGGCTTTGATGATAAGGAAACCCTTTGAAAAGAAGGTATTCTTCCGTGGAATTGGAGGGAGACCTCTCAGTTTCTGTTAGAAAAGAGTTTTATCTGAAGAGTTTTTTGGACTTCAAAAGAGTGCATAACTTTCACATCGGTATCGACATCTTTGTGTTCTGCTCCCGGCCTTAAAAATATTTTCGTTAACGAAAAAGTAGACGAGCTCTGTCAAGTCGGGAATGTCTCTTCATTAATTCACAGCAGAGTTAAAATCTGTCCGGAACGATCTGAGAAGAGCTTTAGTTACTTTTTTCACAAATTTCTATGAATAAGATCTACGATGAGTATGCATATACATATATAGATTTCCGGCTGCAATAATGGGGCATTAGTTCCCTTGAGAGCATAGAGCTTACATCAGTTGGTACTAAACCCTGAATAGATATAAGCAGTTTCCTGGGGACCAACAGGATATTAATGCATCAAAATGGCTATCTAGCGTTAATTTTGCGAAGGGCTAAAAATATTCGGGCAGCACGCATGGCAACCCTCATAATTTTTCTAATCAAGCCTCAACAAAAGAATTTTAGACTTCATTTTTTACAAACTCTAAATTGAAAATTGAAAGTTTATCGTAAATTAGTTCGGACAAGAAGTTTGAATGGGTCATCGTATTCTAACGATGTTTACGCAACTACTGAACTGGTTTTCAACGGTGATTTGATGCAACTTAAAAGAAATAGTACTTTTTCTCGATAGGAAAATTGATTATTCTAAAATTCATAAAAATACCCTATAATGGACATGGACAAATTATTATCCCTTTACCCCCTCATTCGTCTGAAAATGCGCCTGTTCATATTCGTACACGTATAAGGGTGTGCCAACCTTTCTAACTCCGCTTCATTCTACGCCTTCTTGTTGCATCCTGAAAATTATGTTTCGCGGTAAGCGTTGAAGATAATTAAACCTATTTTATAATTATATTTCCACATCGACTATTATAGTCTAATACAAAAACCATTTGCATAAATTTACTTATTCGACATTCAATTGAAGTGCGAGACCACCCTTCGTGCTCACACCACCCGCTGACAGTTCACTGTGCTCTTTGTGTAAAATATATTGGGATGTTCTTGCATATGCATGTATGTATGTGTGTTGGTGTACATATTCGTGAGTGTCATAAATGCCACATGTGTGTGGGCAAAACACTGCAATACTCATAAATCTTAGTGGTGGCAGCAACAGTAGTGGCAAAAATCGGTGAAATGCTGCAGTGGCGATGTTCACAGCTTCCAGGCAACACGACGCTTGCAACTGCAACTGCAGCAGCAACAGTTACTGCAACAACGATAACAACAACAACTGTAACAGCAACTGCAGCTGAACTAAATCAAAAAATTGCAGCTGCAATGGTAGACAATGGAAGCTTAAAGTGGCGCAACGGCCGGAATGAGTGCGACGGCACTTGGCGAACGATAGTGCTGCAGCATCAGAACAACGCAACGGCAATGGCAACAACGTTGATGACAAAAGCACAATGCAATTGATGGCAACAACAAAAAAAACGACAGTAACGACGGACGGCAACAACGACGATTACAGCAAGAATGCGACAACTAGGAAGGATTGCTGCAATATGGTTCGTTGGACGGGCGGTCGGTCGGTCGGTCGGTCGCTTGGTCTAACGGGGGACCGGCTTGTCGGTGGACCGGTGGACGCTTCTCGCAGCAATGAGATTGCCCGCAGCGTTGACAAAAACAATAAAAGTACAAAGACACAGCATTGCAACTATGACTCTGTTGATGGCGGCTGCTGAGGTCGTCTCACAAAAGGCGCACTAGAAAAAACACCAAACAATCTCGAATGCACAGCACACAGTCACATACACTTGCACTTATTCACAAATTACATTTCTATATAATCCAGATCTACAAGTGAACACATCCCCTGCAGAGGTAAACCAACTAGTATGCGAAAATTCTAGTTAAATACTAGTGTGTTGGAGATGAAATCATACTTGTTCGTTGTGTTTAAAGAAGTCCACCAGAAATAACCACCGTGTGTTGTGGTTGTATCAGATCGCCTGGGCTGAATACCATTCTCTGCTCTTTTCTATTAAAGTGCGCAAAATTACGTCGGCCGCTACATCGTCACGATAGCCGACTGGTTAGAGGTTAATGCTGTAGTGTGTTAGGCTCCAGGTTCGAGTTCCTTCAGAGACATAATAATCTTTTATTTGGTTAAAATTTCAAAATATTTTCACCACTCCGTCATTTGTATGTTGTTGTTGTTTTCACTACGCTATGGCTAAGATTTATTTCCTAAAAAGTTCTGTTGAAGTGCGGAGATTCCGTTACTTTCTACAACATAACGATAGCCTAGTGGTTAGAGGTCTTCACAACGGTACGTGGGGGTTTCGATTCGATTCTTGCAGCCGGCAATCCCAATTATGTTTTGTTCATTTGTTTATTTTTTTTGGTGATATAGCAATTCAATATGCCTAAGTGAACTAGTATCAAACTAGTATGAAGCTGATTCATAGCAGGACAATTGCCAGTTCGTAGGACATGGTCGTGTTAAAAATACCAGTTGCTTCAATGGAAAATGGATGAAGACGAAACCAAAAAATGTAAACTAGTTGGATTCTAGTTGACAACTAGTACTTTTTCCCTGCAGGGTGCCGGTTCATTGTGAATGTATGTATTGTATGTATGTGTCCATAGTCTCCTCATCTGCAAAGTTCCACTTTCACCTATTGCCACAACGAACAATGCAAAACGTCAGAAATGAGAACGATATGCAATCACAGCAATTGTTACATAAACATACATACATACATTCATACATACATACAATAGACGAAGGGAGTGAAGCTCTCCCTGCTGTTTGTAGAGTGTGGCAAAGTTAATGGAGAATTCTTGCAGTGAGCAGTTTTGAAATTAGCAACTGAATATGTTTACAGTAATCATGCAATAATGTGGCAACCACAATGACGTTATTCCAAATACGAGCATCCAATTGCAAAATAGAATACATTAAATGCAATAGCATTAATTTATGCAAATCTCTTTTTATCCATTTCATCTATAATTAGCAGCCTTTGTTTGATTAAGTTGCGTTTGGTACTTCACAGACGGTTAGCGAGAGAAAGACAAGCATTGAGTAAATATAGCCAAAAGCAAAAAATTGCCGAAGTGTTAAAATCCGAGTATAGAAGAGTATGGAAACAATCAGTTGCATTCGAGAAACCAGCTAACAGCTGAGGACGGCCTTGTCAAATGTATGGTGCAACCTCGTTCGGCGCAAAGTAGCTTAGGTGGTTTGGCTAATATCTTAATCATTTTCTTTTTCTCGAAAATATTCACTAAACTAATCTATTTTATATTTTTTCGAGGTAAAAAATGATTCTATGAGGATTTATATTTATCCCCTCTTTTCGTTTAAGTAATACCGCACCGAAATACACCTAAATATACAATAACACTATGTAACTCTAAATATCCAACAAAACTTTGTGACCAGAAAATGAATGTAAATGCATTCTTAGCTCTTATAAAAATCTGGAGCACTATCTTGCTTTTTAAGTGAAAGTGATTTTTTTTTAGCATTTTCTTAATATTTTGATATGACCATATCTCGCCAAAAGTACCATTTCCACAGTTTTCTTTCGAATCAAACAAATGATTTTCAATTCATTCTGTTTGTTTGTTTATAAAATCATCAACAATATCGGGAACATTATCTGGATCAGAGTCAGTAAAATCTTCGTCCACGATTTCTTCATATATGTTTAAATCCGGATACTCGGTGTATTCATTTTCAAATTGGCTTACTTTGCTCCTGAGGCAATTGTCGCGAAAGTTCATCCGGATGAAAATGCAAAAAGTGCAATTTCAATGTTAACGATGTCTCTTGACTTCGTCTGGCTGCTCACGATTTTTCCCCAAAACACCCTCGATAACTGCACTTAATGCCAACAATGCCTCGAGGTAATCGTCTCTCAGTAATTTCCTGAAGCCTTCACTTTTCATTAGATATCGTATATCCGGTCCTTGTAGTACATCTTTTCCAAATGTAGCAAATAGAAATTAGAAAGAATTCATTAGTCATACATATTATTTTCATTATTCATTCATTTATTGGCTTAAGCAGTATCATCCACAAATGTTGTAATTGTAATAACTTCGTCACTTGTAGGAATGTCTGCCATGAACAAAATATATAATATTGGTTCAAGAGCACTATCCTGCGGAGCGCCTGCTGTGATTGGATACTCTGCTGTTATATGTATTGTATATTCATTTACTTTTATTGTGCATCGCCAGTTGGAACGTGTAAGGTAATAATTGCTTAATTTTATGAATGAGACCATCGGGCCACACCTTGTCAAATGCTTGAGCGACATCAAGAAAAACCTCCGAGCTGTAGTCTCTGAATTTGAAGGCTTTCTTTATTTCAATTTAATCATGTCATGTAGAAAAGAAGAAATTTTTGATATCTTTTCGAAAAGTGTGGAAAATCAAGGCAATAGGCTGATTGACGACAGGGTAATTTGTGACTTTTTCCATATTTAATATGGCACTAAAAACCTTTGCCAGAAATGTTGAGCTATGATTGTCCCTGAAGATGTTTTTGGATTTAAGGCAGTAAAAAAGCTTGTTTAGTTCAGACACAGATGCTCCGCAAGTAACAGTGTATCTAGGAGCAGTATGGTTCGGTGAACGTTTACGGTAATAAAATGCTTCCTAGTGGCTTGAGAGATTTTTTAGTAGATACGCTGGGAGATAGAGACGTTATAAGATTTTTAATTTTCCTTTTCAATTAGTTTTCTGCAATCTAAAGTCGGGTTTTTGGATCGAGTGAGCGATTTCGGTTTCTTTTCTGCTTTGCTGTGGCTATATTTGCTGTTGCTGATAGTATACTGCTAAATACTAGTAACTCGCTTCCAATATCATTTTCTCTCTCTAACTCTC